GTGACTTTACTAATGTGAGTTTGTTTTCCTCATTGCAGGGCAACAGAAGGTAAACGTACTAGAAGAGGAGGAACAAGCCTTACACAAGCTAGACTTGCAGGACAAGGAATAAACCCATTTTGTAACAAACTTTCCTTTTTGTACTTGAACCGCGTAATTCAATTTTGAAAATATATCCTTGTTGTGCCAGTACGCCGTGTTCTTACTTCAGTGGTAATTGCCGGTCCTGATTGTTGTGTTGCGTTTCAGATTGCTCCTGTTTGCCAGTAAACGCTAATAATACGTGCTACAAATGGTGATGGAGGTATCTTTGGCAAAACACGACGAAAATTACGATAAACCACCAGTTATCCTAAGCAAGGCAGTAGCCAGCACAACTCCTCGTCAGCCGCCGCTATTGGGAGTTTCATCAGACTATGCTATCTGGAAGGTTAGAGTAATGACGTGTCTACGTCGAATCCCAACAGCGGAACATTTTGAATACCTCTTGTCCTATTTAGATGACGAAGCAGCAAAAAGAGCCACAGCCAACGGTTTCGCTTCATCTAATTCACTGTCGGAAAATTGGAGAATTTTAGACGAATGTTTTTCTCTGACGGTGGATAATCAGCTAACTATCCAGTTTTTGTCTCGGCGACAGACGATGAGTGAAGAACCCATTGACTACCTGCACTCCTTACAACAAGCAGCTATTCAAGCCTTTCCCAGCCTAGATCCCTTGGTCCGAGAAGAACTAATACGCTCACGTTTTGTAGAAGGACTTTTGCCGAGTGCACTACGACAGCACCTGCTATGCATGCCACCCAAAACTATGCAGGACCTAAAAATCACAATCCTTCGGCTAACAGCTGCTCACAAATTATCAAGCGCAACAACGACAATGATTACCCAACCGGCTAGGGTCGCACACCAATTCGACTCCTCACAAACAATTTCCGCGGCTAATTATCGACATACGAGACAACCACCGCGGGTTAACCAGCGGAACCAGAAAGTCGAATGTTTCTATTGCCAACGGTTCGGCAAAAAAGCTCGGAAATGCGGGCATAATCGCGTACAAGACAGAGGTAAGATACATCATTATCATATATCTTCTTCCTATATTAAACATGCATGTCCCATTACTATCAGAGGTAAAGTACAAAATAAGGAGGTTGATATATTACTAGATACGGGAGCCTCAGTATCCCTGATTAAGCAAGACTTTTTACAAAAACTCAACCGCAAGACACGACAGAAACAATGCTTCTCCGCATTGGTTACGGCAAGTGGAGATCCTTTAAAAGCATGTTCTAAAGCAAGCTTGGAGCTGACATTAGATAAGCATTATTTTCAACATGAATTTTTGGTTTGCCCCACATTGACCTGGAACGTGATACTCGGAGTGGACTTCATGTTAAAAAATCAGGTCTACATTCACTTGGATAAATCAGAAGCGAAAATTGGCGGGGTCGTCGTACACCTACAACACCATGAAATGTCAACCGAACCCGTAGCCCAGGTAGGAATTTCAGAAATTATACGGCAGATACGAGATAATCAAATGATAAGCGAAAAGGACCGCCGAGAAACCATTGATGTACTCCAACAATTTAATTCCGTCTTTTCGGAAAATATTTCTGGAACTCGGACGACCACCGTACAACATTCCATCCTTACGGGTGACCACGTGCCACTGCGCCAACCACCTCGCAGAGTGCCAGTACACTATCAGCCGCAGTTAGAATCAATGATAAAAGAGATGCTAGAGAAAAAGATTATTGTACCATCCTCATCACCCTGGGCTTCGCCCATTGTTCTAGTGAAGAAGAAAGACACCTCCCTTCGATTATGTATAGATTATCGTCGCCTTAATGCCATAACAAAGCGGGATTCCTTTCCACTTCCGCGGATCGATGCCACGTTAGACGCTATGAAAGGCGCATGTTGGTTTTCAACTTTAGACTTAGCATCTGGGTACTGGCAAGTAGAGGTGAGACCCCAGGACAATAAAAAGACTGCATTCGTCGTACCGAATGGACTTTATGAATTTCAAGTGATGCCTTTTGGGCTAACTAATGCCCCAGCCACCTTCCAACGATTGATGCAGACAGTCCTACATGGCCTCGTACCACATAAGTGCTTAATTTACCTTGACGATATCATTGTGTATGGCAGCACACCAGAACAGCATAATGAAAACTTGAGGGCAGTTCTACAACGTATTAAGCAACACAACTTAAAAGTGAAACCATCTAAATGTCGACTCTTGCAAAAAGAAGTACTCTTTCTGGGACATCGCATTACGGAAGAAGGAGTTGCAACAGATAAGGAAAAAACGAGCGCCATTATTAACTGGCCACAACCAAAATCTGCCGAGGATGTTCGCAGCTTCCTGGGACTCGCTTCTTACTACAGACGCTTTGTACGTGATTTTGCATCCCTGGCAGCCCCTTTACACCGTTTGACGCATAAAGGACGGAAATTTTTGTGGACCACAGAATGTCAACAGGCATTTAGCACCTTGAAGTCATGTCTTGCTTCTCCACCCATACTAGCTTTTCCGGATACTTCTACTAAAGCGGGTGAGTTTATACTTGACACAGATGCTAGCTCATCAGCTATTGGAGCAGTCCTGTCTCAGATAGCACAAGATGGACAGGAGCGCGTTATAGCGTACGCTAGTCGCCGGCTAGATAAGAGAGAGACAAGGTATTCTACGACACGCCGAGAGATGCTGGCCTTGGTAAAATTTTTGCAACATTTTCGTCACTATCTCCTAGGACGACCCTTTCGTGTACGCACAGACCACCGTGCACTACAGTGGCTTCGTTCGTTCCGCGAACCAGAAGGTCAGGTAGCGCGCTGGCAGGAGAGGTTGCAGGAGTTTGATTTTACTTGCGAATACCGACCTGGAAGTCGACACACAAACGCCGATTCCCTGTCTCGTATACCCTGTTCTTCTAATACTATTAGTGCTGTCCTCAGCACGGCTTCTGAGATCGACTGGCCGACTCTCCAAGCAACAGACCCTGATTTACAATTCATTTATCAAAGGCAACTACATGGGAATAATAAACCATCTATGGCGGAGTTGAAGGATCATTCCTTGGCAACGCGCCGTCTTTGTGCTAGGTGGAGCAACCTGAGATTGTATGGAGACACGTTGTTTATAGCCAGTGAATCAAAACAGCCACTGCTGGTAGTACCACGTGTACAAGTCCAGAATATTATGGAGCAGGTGCACCGAGAACTTGGACACTCGGGGAGACGGAAGACCGAACATGCGATCTGCCAAACGTTTTGGTGGCCATCCATCCATGAAGACGTGACGGAATTCTGCAAAAATTGTAGCACGTGCTATGCTATTAAGCCACCCCGACAAATGCCTCGTGCACCCTTAGTCCCAATGACGACAGAAGGCCCACATCAGCGAGTTGGCATCGATATTATGGGACCACTCACAACGTCAAAGAACGGAAACCGTTATATACTGGTTATGGTAGACTATTTTAGCAAATGGTGCGAAGCTGTTCCTATACCACAACAAGATGCCCTCACAGTCACTCGATCTTTTATTGATCATTGGGTATCCCGGTACGGCGCCCCATTCTCACTCCATTCTGACCAAGGTTCAGCTTTTGAAAGCCATCTCGTCGCTCAGGTATGCCGATTATTGGGAATTCGTAAAACACATACTACCGCATACCACCCAGAAGGTAACGGCTTAGTGGAGAGAACGAACAGGACTATCAAAGCCCTCCTACAATCGTTTATCAGTAAGTCGTCGACCGAATGTTGGGATGAGGTTATACCCCAATGTCTGTTAGCTTACCGCGCGTCAGTACACGGATCAACGGGATTTTCACCTGCGACTCTAGTCTTCGGACATGAATTGCGTCTACCTGTGGAGTTACAAATACCGTTGTTACCATGTGAGGCTCAGGAGCATGTATCATACATCCGTAACCTTCGCAGCCGTCTGGCGGACGCATACCATCTAGTTAAGATCAACCTACAAAATGCTAGCAAACACCAAAAGGATGTGTACGACCGCAAGGCGAACGGACCCGTGTATAAAGCCGGTGATCGTGTTTGGCTGCACCGCCCCATGGCCCCGCCAGGGACATGCAGCAAGTTCCACCAACCTTGGCAAGGACCTTATGAGGTTGTATTTACACGTTCCCCCACTACGGTTGTTTTACGCAACCTCCAACGGCCCCAAGACGATGTGATAACAGCACACTACAACCAATTGAAGCCGGACAGAACAACGGTGCATCTAGACACTCCATTTGTAAACCCCCCGACTGCCGTTAGCCATTATGAAGTACCACCAGAAGGAGGGGTAGCTTACCCATGTCAAGCATCAGGCACTGAGGACAGTGCCTCATGGAGAGAGGGGGTGGTGTAACGATATTAAAAATCAATACATGTGACTTTACTAATGTGAGTTTGTTTTCCTCATTGCAGGGCAACAGAAGGTAAACGTACTAGAAGAGGAGGAACAAGCCTTACACAAGCTAGACTTGCAGGACAAGGAATAAACCCATTTTGTAACAAACTTTCCTTTTTGTACTTGAACCGCGTAATTCAATTTTGAAAATATATCCTTGTTGTGCCAGTACGCCGTGTTCTTACTTCAGTGGTAATTGCCGGTCCTGATTGTTGTGTTGCGTTTCAGATTGCTCCTGTTTGCCAGTAAACGCTAATAATACGTGCTACAGTCTTTATGATGTGTTTGAGTGACAGTAGAAAAAGGTTGGTTGAACAGGTTTTAGAATGGAATTCTAGTCGGTTGGATTTACTCAAACTTACGATCCCCAACGAATTAAAAATTACTGTTATTTGACACACTTTTAGAAATGTGAGTTCAGTGGGGTCATGCGGTTTTTTCTTCAGGATGAAAATCGGAGATTCCAGACAAAGTGCATCGGAGTATCAAGCTTGTCCAAAACTTCTGAAGTTGCGGAAGTGTTGAGAGAAAAGTTTTGCATTCAAGATTCACCCGTCGCTAGCAAATGTTTCGGGATTTACGATCATCATCCAAACGGAGGTTTGTTTCAATATTACCAAGTGAATCTTTCAATATTTTTCCAATTTCATTAGGACATAGAGCTGAAGTAAAACGTATGTTCAGTCGACCGTATTGTAAAAACTTGCCGTCTAGCGATTTCATCTTTAAACATTTCAAATAGCACACTAATATTGTTTTACATATTGTCTAGTCTCCCCGGTGACGACCTTTTTTTCGCTGTTATAGTGCTTCAAGGAAGATGGGTTTCAATTAAAACATTGCAACCAGCAGTCAGCCTTATGTGGGTTTTGCCATGAAATATATAATATAGGTCGCTGATTTCGTTAAATCAAACCACTTTGCATGGTTGGCATTAGCTTAGCAGTCATTTTATCAACAAACTCAATAATCTTCATGACAATCCCTGATAATTTGTATTACTAAACGCGTTAAAATAAATCGGTTACAAGTTTGAAAGCGTTCTAAGTGAAATTAAGAAAGCTGCATAGTCTGATATACAATATCACGGTGTGGCTATAATTTATGGATGGACCAATCAGGTGTAAGATAACAGGTCTCAGATTTTGGCGCGAAATTCAATCGTTTATTCGGCTGAATAGATTTATGGCGTTATAGCTAATGTTAGTTCATGATATAAACCCAAAATGTATTTCATAACCCCAACCAACAGCTGAAAATTATAACTCTAATTCCTCACACAGGTTCATAACGCTCATTAGGTACCGGCTGCTAAATGGACACTCTCAAGGTCAGTCTAGCGTCACTCAAAGGTCGTTCATAAATTATAGTCTCACCGCAGATTGTATCTATCATACAAGCGACACGATTGTTTATTCTTATATTTTTTAAGGATGTCGATTTTCTGTTGCTCTAGTTATGGTAGTATTTCATTTGAATTTTTAGCAATTCAGGTTTGTGTTGATTTTGTTTGTTTAGTCGTCCAAACCACTCTTATAAGCTTACCCGTTTTCCCTAAAAAAAAAAATAAGTCCCATCATTGTCAGATTTTGTGAACACAAGTTTGTCTACAATCGATATTTAAAGTTGCACAATTAGCCTGGTTTTAAATAGTTGTCTTCTAGTGCTGTAATGAAAAAGTGTTTTTTGACAGACTTCCTTGATTGTATTCACTCTTATATATTTACAACAGCTTATAATTTTTCTACTAGGTATGAAAGTTCAAACTATAATAATGTCACTCATTTGCGGAATATAGGTTTATGTTCTGGGTTTTTAACTAATCCGTGAGAGTGAGACTACCTAGTTGACCAAACTTAGCTAGCTTCTGTGAATTACAAACCACTTTGAGAATCAAGTACTTTAATCATTTAAATACCACTTCACTTAGTGTAAAAATACATATCTTTTTATTCTGAAAAAAACCAATTCCAATTTAGTTAACTATTAATAACCATATTGATTAGTTCTATAATGATTGTCTTTTAAAGTTTCAGTAAAATAAAACCACAACTTTACTATGGGCAGAATAGTTACCCTTAATATTTGTTTTGATGACATCTCAAATTTCTTGTTAAGTCCTTGTCTTTTTGTTAACTTTATCAGTTAGACGACTGACAAACGATGAATATCCTTTGTTGGTACAACTAAGTTGGAGTAAATTAGATCGAGAAGGGAAGTTTGTTTTAAAACTGGAACCTAATAGTGGACATATCCAGGTATGCCTTTCCTTTTTTAGGTGGTCAGTTGCTTTTTAGTTTTACCCTCAAACTTTTTATTTCTCTCTCTAACTTCTTGATAGAGAAAGTATACATGCACTCACAGACAATTTTACAAAATATATAAAAATGTAAGTAGTTAGAAAAGTTGTTTTAATCGACTTTTATGCAAATAATCAACAAGACTCAAAGTTCAGTTTGACTTTGTTGCTTAGGTGATTGGAACCGTGCTTTCTATAATAAGATTCTCAAAATAGGGATTTCAAGCTTGAGATGGATGGAGACAGTTTTGAACCAAAGCTGACATTTTAAGTTCCTACAATTAAAAACACGAAGTTCAGCGGAGAAGTCTCTTCAACGAATTTACTATCATGCTGTACAATCGTATTTATATATGAAAAATGTTTAATGTTAAAGTTCTAGTTCCATGTGGACATATGAACAAGGAGTAATCATGACGATGCGATCGAAAGATTATAATACTGGATTACGCAACATAAATGATAACAATAGACTTAATAAGTCCGTAACGACCGATAGTGTGAATGCAGTTCCTACAATAACATAAAACAGTATTCTATGGCATTCGAATGCATTCATATCACTGTTTGGTCTTCAAAAAATAGCCCACACCTTTAGAAAAAGTGATTTTTTCTGAATATGTTTATCTTTTTCGAGTAAATCCGCACAACATACTTTTATTTTAATAATTCTCTTTTCAAGAAAAATGTTTCAGAAAGTCAAAATGAAACAAATTTATTTAATGGTTCAAATAATAACAGTACTGTTTGTGGATCAGTAATCAACCCTAAAACTCGTCTATTTCAACGTCTCTGGTCTTTTCGACGTGAAAAGATTGTTTCGCCCATGACTGTGAAAGCAGATCAAAGACGTAGACCACCATTAGGTTGTGCAGCAGGTGTAGGATTGTCGAAAACGTGTTCCAATTTTATTACTGAAAATTCGTTGATATGCTTACTAGGATCAATTAAACATCAGGGTAATGGCGATAATATTATCTACCACAATAACAACAGTAAAAATTAAATTCCACTAAATCCTAACACTACCAAATTCATCGTTTACACGTACAATATCAAATCCGGAAACAGCGATGCAACGAAAACATCAACGCATATTAGAAGCTAAACTTATGCGAATGTTACATCATGATAATATTGAACCAGGTAAGTTTAAGAAGTAAAAGAGTTTTTTACTTTAATTCAACTACTTCATCTTGTTGTGCTAATGAGGTATGGCATGCTGAACCGATGCACATATGTGCCTGGTCCTACGTTGTAGCTTTATTTATTTATTTGGACACATAGATATTGGTACAAGGAGGCACCAGATACATATGCGCCACACGAATCTCATTTGATTTGTGTGAGGGCTGTGATACTGACCGGGTGCCCAAACCGAAGCAGGTGGTTTTCCTAAGGGACCACACATGGAGCCTTCGACCTAAAGGTCTGATCCACAAGGCAGTGGAGCATCGTAAGGGGATGCAGTCCCATGGAAGCCGGTGACCGAGAAATTGGTTCATACGCCATTTGTTCCTTCAGGATACTAGAGCCCATGTGCACCATTGGTTTGGGATCCGGTTAAAGCGCTGGACATTCGGACATTCGAACCGAACAATATTAGACCACCATGGAGAACCTGGAAGCGCTGGACTGCAGTTTCTTCCTAGCCATTGTACATTACAAGCATCAAGAAAGAGTGGGCGAAACATCTAAAAAAATGTATTCATTTTCGAGATGCAGTCAGATACATCGTGAAAATAATAATAGTTATAGTAGTAGCAATGATTCTATAACTTAATGTTATGTACAGCACATTGTATTTTGCTCAAAAAGATATTAACTGAAAACAAGGAGTACATTTAGAATAAAGTTCTATACACGAAAATTAATCAACGAAGTGCATGTGTGTGTGTGTGCACGTATAATAAATCACCAATGAGGAAACTAAAAAGATAACTTATCGTTGTTTTCACTCTATACCTCTCATGATTTATTAAGAAAGCTTACTAAATGCCACAAATGGATGGTAATCGTATTGTTAATGGTCAATTGTAGAAACAATTTACGGTAATCTGTGCTTTTGTTATAGACAGCAGACCTATTGTAACGCTCGCTTTTAGCCATAAAGGCCTTCAAACTGAATGTTTATAGTGTCTATATAGCGCAATGTCATATTAGGAACTGTGTTCAAAAATTACTACCACCGATCATCACCAAAGTTAAACTCAGATTGTAGTCAGGAAGTTAAGCGAACCATCAAAATTGAGAGATATTATTCTGGCTTTTATTATCATAACAATGCATACAAGTGATAACAGAAGTTATGGGAGGTATTTAATTCATCTGCTATTCTGATTTATATCCAATCTTCCAACTGTCATTAAAAACGTGTTACTTCCTAATCAAGCATTTGTTCGCTCAGAGTACGCAGATGATATAACCCTGTTTAATGATGCTGATAAAATTGTCTTTTGACAGCTTCAAGCAACAATGATAACATATTTCGGATACATTTCTTGCTCTTTAACTGGAAACAGTTGCTACAGAACTATTTTATTTATTTATTTGAACACAAATATTGGTACAAAGGGGCACCGAATACATATGCTCCACACAAGTCACTTAGGGTGTGGGTTGTGATACTACCCGGTTTGCCAGAGCCGGTCTGTATCAACGCCTGAACTAATATTAGGGAATGAATTAGTTGAGCGTCTTGATCTTGGAAATCTCACCAGACCTCATGGAAGCATTGGACAACTGGACAAACAGCGTTACACAGTTTCAATACAGCCTTCTTTCGACATATTGACAAACTCAAACAATTGAAGATAACTCTCAACATCAGGTTCCAAGCCTTACAGGACCTACTGAAGTAAAAAGAAACTACTACAAAGGACAACTGGAAATGGATCAAAGAAGCACTAACCTCAACGTATTACGAGGTTCTGGGCCGCAATTAGCATCATCATAAGGAATGCATCTCAATAGAAGGGAGAACAACAAGACAGCAATCAACAACAGCCAAACAAGAACAAAGAGAGTCGAGGCACAAACTGAATACACAGAAGCAAACAAGCAAGTGAAGAAGAGCATTATAGTCAACAAGCAGAAATATGTGGAAGACCTGGCAACGACAGAGGAAAAGCTGCAACAGAAGGAAATATGAAAACAACTGACAGGGAAATATAATAAACCAGAGAAACCAGTCAAGGACAAAGAAGGCAGACCAATCACTGAAATTCAATAACAGCGGGACAGATGGGTAGAGTACTTCGAGGAACTCTTGAATAGGCCTGCTCCAATGAATCCACCGGACATCGAAGCAGCATACGCAGACCTTCCTATAGATGTCGATCCACCAACGATCGAAGAAGTCAGGATGGCCATCAGATAAATCAAGAGTGGGAAAGCAGCAGGACCCGACAATATACCAGCTGAAGCACTGAAGTCAGACATCGAAGTAACTACAAACATGCTTCACCTTCCATTCAGGAAGAGTTGGGAGGAGGAACAAGTTCCGACAGACTAGAAAGAATGATACCTCATCAAGATACCAAAGAAAGGAGATCTAAGCAAATGTGAAAACTACAGGGGAGTCACACTACTGTCAGTACCAGGAAAGGTTTCCAACAAGGTGTTACTGAACCGGATGAAAGACGCAGTAGACACCCAACTTCGCGATCAACAGGCTGGATTCTGTAAGGATCGGTCGTGCGCAGACCAAATTGCGACACTACGGATCATCGTCGAACAACCAATTGAATGGAACTTGTCACTACACATCAACATCTTTGATTATGAGAAAGCATTTCACAGTGTGGATGGGAGAACATTGTGGAAACTTCTTCGACACTATGTAGTACCTGAGAAAATCGCCAACATCATTCGGAATTTATACGACGGACTTCAGTGCAAAGTCGTGCATGGAGGACAGCTGACAGACGCATTCCAAGTGAGAACCAGAGTCAGACAAGGCTGTGTTCACAGGGAATTTGTTCCATGTTTACATCCAACTTTCTCATTGTCTACTACTAGTGGCAAAATCAAAGAAAATGGCTAATTCGGCAGGCGAAGAATGCTCACATAGCTCACCTCAGTCGAAGATCCTCCGTTCTTTTATGACTTATGCTATTTGATGTGTTTTCGACTTATATTAATCAACGGTTGTTTAGGGATGAAAAGCTTATATATTCAGTATTTAAATAATGAATATAACGATCATACATCAAAAGCAAAAGATCTGAGGAGGTGTGGGTAGCATAATATTTAAGTTTACTACATTTTTGGTAATGTCTTTGCTAATAAAATAAAACAGGTGAAAGGGTACGAAAACAATTTTGTTTAGTTAAATAAACACAAGCTGTTATTAGATACGTGGTTACATTTTAGGCTGCAGCCTAAACTGTGGATATTCTTGACTAAATAATCAGCTGTGCCCATCTCGCCGTTTTAGACACTTGTACAGAATTCTCAGTCTCGTTCGTCGATTTTGTGATTTTTTTTGTCAGGATGACGGTCTAACAACACATATGGTGATTCATGATCTACATAAGGTGATTTTAGCTTATGAACACTTACGGAGTCGATGTTTCCTTATTTTTATATCACGAAATACTTAGATTCCCTTGAGATAACTTCCAAAGGGCCTTCAAATGGAGGGCTGAGCGATGATTTTATTTTGTCACACCTTATCCAGACGTGCGTGCAATTGCTTAGATCCTTAGGTACATATGTTGTTCGCGACTGTTCACGAGTATTAATTGGTTTGAGTTTGAACATATCGTACTAGTGGCAGGAATTTTGTCCACTGATTGGTGTTTGAGTGTATTATAAGGACTGACTTTAGTTGACGACTGAAACGTTCTACCATCCCATTAGTCTGAGGTTGATATGCAATGCCAGACGTTCAGCAAAGTTGTTACAAGACCTAGTGGGTCGAACAGAGATGAAACGGTCAATAATATTCCTCTACCGGTCAGAGGTATTTACTCATAATCAAATCAAGATGTGTAAACATCATGTATGGTGTCCCAATCAAACCCAAGAGCATGATGAGTCAGCCCTTGATTCAAAGACATACCAATTATTGTTTCCATGCTATCAGATTGCGGAAAACGTTTCAATCCATTTTAAACTGATTTATCATTCCGTTACTAATGATGGTTTGTTAATTCCTATTGTCAAAATCCAAATCTGTTGTTGATCAGTCTTTATTGTCATTTGTGGATCCTGAGTGGGTTACCTCTATGAAGTCATATTTCCACAAGTTTTTTGGAATGGATAGATTGTGGCTAGCAGTGGAATTCAGAGTTCATGTTTCATCCAATTTGGGATGTTCCTACATTCCAGTGTTAAGATTTAATTAATTGATAAACGTTTTTAGTGGTCACTTTTCACAGCCCATTACCCTAATCAAAATGATTTTAATCTTCTCAAAAAAATCTTTTTCAGTGTCAAACACATCCGGAATACAATGGCCCTACTTTAGGTCCAAAATTAGCTCAAGAGAATAAACGTGAATTCACTGACGAACAATTACGTGAAGGTGCGAATGTAATTAGTCTACAATATGGTACAAACAAAGGCGCTTCACAAGCTGGCATGACAATGGGCAAACAAAGAATGATTCTTGATTAAAATAATTATTTATGAAGAAAAATACTAAGACATATCTATCAATTTATTAAAACTATGACCGTTTAGTGGGGGGGGGGGGCAATTTTTCGAATTCTAATATTAATAATCACAAACGTGATGGAATTTTAACTATGGAACTCAGCATGTTAATATTTGTTTCCCAATGAAATGCTTTTTTTCACAAATGCTTTTTTCATCGTTTAATTGTTTCTTAAGCTTATTCTTAACTCATCATATTACAGCTGATCTAAGTAACAACAATACTAAGGTATAACCTTGATTAATCGTTCATATGATTGAGTGTTAATGTTAAATGACGTGCTTAACTTCCTAATAAACATTTTACATATTTGTGCTGCTAAATAATAATAACAACTGCAATGCTTTTTTCCTCAATTTTTCACTTATATATTTCTGTCAAAATACAAAAGTGTAAAGCTTATTGTAATCGTTATACGGTAACAGATTCATTGCTTACCTATTCTACATGATTCATTATTTATAACTAATCGTGAAACTTCCTGTTAACTTATTTAAATAAATCCTATTGAAGTTTTCATCCTATTACTCATGCATTAAAAATGTCCCTATTTTCCACTATAACTGAGCCTAGTAAATTTCATAAAGTTGAATATTTTTAAGAACATTAATATAGCAAATATATATTTCCAATAAGTATCTATTAAATTCCAAACTCTCAGTGATTTTAAAAATATATTAGTTGACCATAATGAGAATCCAAAATCTTTGTTACGAGCTAGTACAAACCAACTGATTTATTTTAGCTCGTTTCTTACTATTTCAGTAGAGTTCCACGTCAGTCAGTCAGCTGCAACGTAGGACCAGGCACGTATATGCATCGGTCCAAGTTACCATACCGCATTAGCATAGCAACATGAACACCGGATTCATAGGAGTAGTTAATTCAGTGGTGGTAATATATAGAAGAAAGATTGCATATAAAGACAGTACAAGAAGAAAGAATTAGTTCCTAGAAAGAAAGATATGAAGCGATTTTAATCTCTTAGTTTAAAGGAAGACAGAGAGTGTATACACCGACGCCATTGTGATCGATTCTGAGGCATGTCACCCAGAGTCTCCAACCATTGGTTACGATAGTCACGCGGACCCCAACCAGGCAGTCTGAATCTTCCAACATGGCTCAGACCAGAAGTTAGTGACTTCAAGCACTGATGCCACGTTTTGGTTTGGCCGCCCCTAACTTTCTTCCAATCATCCCTAACACCGGTTAGCATTGCGCGTCGTGGTAATCGGTGTTCAGGCGTACGCAGCACGTGGCCTAACCATCTCAGTCGATGAAGATTCACAACCTCATCAACTGATTTACCATCATTCCCTAATACCCTACGTCTAACCTCACTATTACTTACCAGGTTATCCCAACAGATGCGAGCAATATTTCCAAGGCACCTGTGGTCAAATACTAGTAACTTACGAATATCTTCTACTCTTAAAGGCCATGTTTCGCAGCCGTAAAGTAGAACGGAACGAACTGCCGCGCAGTATACTCGTCCCTTAATTGATAGACAGATATCTCGCCTTCGCATAGATGACGTAAGTTGGCAAAGGCCAAACGAACTTTTCGAATCCGTGCTGAGATTTCGTCAGACACCAACCCATTAGGGCTGATCAGACTTCCAAGATAAGCGAAGTTGTCGACGCGTTCGATTACTTCACACCCTATCCTTAGTTCAGGTGTTGACGCAGACCAGTCCTGAAGCAACAACTTGCATTTAGAGGGAGAGAAGCACATTCCAAACATTCTGGCATTGTTGCTCAGTGCTAGCAAAAGACTCTGCATTTCATCATCGTCTTCACCAAACAGGACTATATCATCTGCGTATTCTAAGTCAATTAGTGGACCTCCTGGTAGGAGATCAATACCCGAGAATTCAGTCGACGAGAATGTTATTTCCATCAGTAGGTTTATGATATGAAGTTAAACAAAAATGGAGAAAGTGGACATCCTTGACAGACACCACTTGAGGTTGCAAAATCAGATGACAGTTCGCCATAAGCTGTCACTGGACTAGTAGTGTTCGAGTAAAGAGCCTTCACAAGGTTTATGTACTTCTGAGGTACGCCTTTCAACGACAGACACTGCCATAGAATCTCGCGGTCTACGGAGTCAAATGCTGCTTTTAAGTCAAGGAAGACCACCATTGTCGGGCGCCGATAAGTATGCCTGTGTTCTAGAACCTGACGAATGGTGAATATACGGTCTATGCATCCACGATCAGGTCTGAAGCCAGCTTGATTCTCTCGTGTTTGCAGTTCACGAGTCTTAGTTAGGCGTCCGATAATTATCGAGACTAGTATTTTAGATGCTATATTAGTTAAACTAATTCCTCTATGGTTATCACAGGATGATTTTGACCCCTTCTTATATATTGGGACAGTCTGTGATTGCGACCAGTCAGATGGGAATACGTCCAACTCCCAGATTTTAGCTAAAATATTAGTCAACCTAATCGCTAAAATCGGACCACCACCCTTAAATACCTCTGGAACCAATCCATCTGGACCAGCTACCCTTCCTCTTTTCAGATTAACTATAACCTTTTGAACTTCAGCTAGATTTGGGGAACCTGCTCCAATGTCCCATTCACACTGTCTCGGAATGGTGGGTAGTTGTAGAGTAGTTGAAGGCCAGCTGAACTGCTCCTTTAACTGTCGTCTTTTTCCGATATAGTCTCTCTCTTACACTTGACTTATTAATTCCAGTTTCTTTTATTAGTCTGTAGAGTTGTCTTGTGTTTCCTATAGCCGCCGCCTTTTCCATCTCTTTTGCTTTCGTTGCCCACCACTGCTCACGACCATTCCTTAGACTTTTGCTTAACCTAGATCAGATTTGTTTCCGCTCTTCATCGTGTTCAGATCCTGATGGGATGAGTTTACGCGAATCCATCAGTGCAATAGACCTTGAAGAAATCCATTGGTTTTTTGTAACCCTTTGGTTTAAATCACTAATAGATGTCACTGCTGTTTCCACAGCTGATTATATATATTTCCAAGCAATATCTGGGTCAGCCTCGTTTTCAGAACTACCTAAGTGTGACCTCAGTTGTTCCTGGAACCTACTTTTGGTCTTCTCGTTACTCAATGGGTCTTTTTCGTGTGTCTTTTTTGCGTCCAGTGGGGCGCAAGCAGATGCGTGCTCTTATTAGGGAATGGTTGGAGTCCAAACAGATACTCCAGTATGAGCGACTATCTTCTATTGACCCTCTCCAACGATGGCTGATAGCAATATGATTAATTTGAGTCCATCGTTGGTTGGGGGGGGGTCGCCATGTTAGACGATGTCTCTCCTTATAAATAAATAATATATTTGTAATATCCCAATGAGTAGAAAATTAGATTTTCTGACGTTTCGTGACTTAGTGTAAGTCACTTATCCTAATGCTTAAAATTTGTGTTTGCTCAAAATAAACGGTTGTTTGAGCACAGTTGCAGCAGACGATCACCATTATCTGTTCGCTGTGCCGGAATACTAAAATACCCACCTAAATGCCTTTCTGTTTGGTTTAAGCTACCTATCTGGGCATTAAAGTCACCTCCTACGAGTACTATGTCTGAACGTTTAGCTTTCTGAAGAAGTTCAGACAGCTTTCTGTAAAATTCATCTTTCACTTCATCCGAACTGCAGTCAGTGGGAGCGTAGGCAGAAACGACGAAAAGGCAACGACGTGTGTCCCTATCCTTCCGAGTTCTTACGGAGCCGTTTAGCCGAACAGCACATAAATGACTGTTAACGGGGATCCACTCTAATAGTGCTTGTTCAGCCTACATGCTTAGTGCTATGTCTACACCTGCCAGTCTACGAGAACTGGCCATCAGGTCGCCAGATACACGGAGGGTGTATATCGTCGGCTCTCCGTTTTGCCGAGGTGAGGTCAAAAGAATGACCACGCTAGGATCCTGCATGAGTGTTCTGCTGGAGGTGCCTGAAAAGGAAATTGGATTAGAGGTGGTCTAAGTGACCTGAGAGCGTGACCGCAGTGCCCAAGGGACAGCTGCGTGAGGTCGGTCACACACGACTTTTTATGAGTAATTTTTATGTTAGCTCCGTAGTTGTTGAGACCTTACCGGAGACGGATATCCGTGGGATAAGGCGAGGTGTGTTCCACGTATTCAATAATGTCTTATAGGTGTTAGTCTAGTGACTCGATGGCACTAATTCTAGCCAATTTGGCAGTTACTCGTGGATTTGTATATTTTTTTGTTAGAGTGAGTTCGTTTGTCTCAGGGAAGAAGTATTTCTGAATATCGGCAGCTTTCAAATTGCCAGACTGGAGGTTAGTTGGTTGTAATATGAAAAATAATGTGATAATTCCACTGCCAAGAGAGGACAACTGTTTCAATAAGAGACAAATATATTATTTAATTCGTAATGTGTAAGGAAACTGAATTGAAAGAATAAGTGGGCGAACGGAGATGATAATAAAAGAGGTAGGAAGAAGTCACATAAATCTGGATTATTATTTCCATGCTATCAGATTGCGGAAAACGTTTGCTAACAAGTTTTGAGCTACTTGCCAACTTTTCCAACTTGAGACCTCCTCGTGACGTGACAGGATTCACGTGTGGAGAGATTCAAACACTTCAATTGTACTTGAATTTTGTGCTATTGATGTCGTTCAGAAGAATGATGTAAGCTCCACGACAAAACAACCCAGCTCAGAGGGCAAAACGTCACCAGAACTATCTACTTGAACTACAAATGTCCTTTTTATCCTTTACCATACACACACCTACATACAAACATGCATCACATAAATCACATTGACCGGAATGACATGACATTGACTTTGTCAGACCGGTTTTTGATCGATCGCACTTGATATTCTTGCCTTGTACTAATTAAAATTGGGTTGATTTTGGTTATTCTCTGAAGGAGTGGCTTATACTGAGTCAGGAAACGTCAGAGCTTACAGAGTTAATTTTTCTGCCCTTTAGGATATTACAAACTCCGCCTGTGGCTCTTCTACAGTTACTGCCGGTCCCAAGCCTGGGTAAAGGAGTAGGGTTGTGTATGGCGTTGCAACCCCATCCCGCAGAAAACTAACTCGCTAAAAAAACGCTAACCAGAAAAAATAATTCAAACCATCTAAACTCTGACCTAGGAGTTAGAAGGTCTTTATTTAGAGGAACTATGACGCCTCAGGGTGCAAGCCGAGTTCCTTCAGAAGTCACGAAACGGATGTCCCTTCTAACAACCAGAGCAACAACTTTCATAGGTGCATGGAACGACCGGATAATGTGGGAGGCCGAGAGGACAAGTAAAATAGCAACGGAAATGAGGAGATACAAATTGGCGGTTCTCGAAGGCTACTCAGTGATTCTTATCGTTGAAGACTCGTTAAGAAACTGGGAAAGAATTAATGCAAACCATGGTGAGGTCGTGGGCGCATACTGCTGAACAATCCCATAAGAGAGAATAAAGCGGTATTGGTTCACGTATAACAATGACAGATACATTAACTCATAACTAACGATACAGGGTAATCAGTTAGTTAGTGGATATCAAGAAACTTACATCACTTAACATAAATATGTCTCAGTCAGTTATATTGTTAAGGATAAGTGTACTATTAATTGAAAATTCAACATAGTTCAATTTTTAATTATTGATAACTTTGAACCCTTATTTTAGAAAAATTTCCCACCGAGACAGCATATTCATATAGTGTTTTCTTTATGGTTTGAGCAATTTTTATCATATAATCTCCTATTTATTTGTTAAATACTTTCGCAGGATACAACCAACATAAATAGAGAAACATGACACTGATGTAGAATTCAGATGCTGTGATGTTGTAGATGATAGACGAATAGATTTAGAGCAGAAAGAGAGAGGGAACTATGAGAGAAAAACTAGAGCGAAAAATAGAAAAAATTGAAAATCAGTAGTATTTTACAGAGAGTAATGGATAAATAATTATGATAATAACAATAAAGATGGGTTGCAACTAACAAAGAAATATAAGATGCACGTTTTATACTGTTCAGGACTCATCAGCTGGATGTTCCAGAGTTGAGAAACTGGAATTCCCAGATACTTATGCAACTTAGTACACGATAAATAGGTTGATGGCCACTTGGACTCAGTAACTCAGTGCATAACGCGTAAGGGGTTGCGGAGGAAAGTACTTGTTCTAGTACTTAAGTAAACATTAACACTCGGAAGGAGCTACAACCAGCGAGACGAGTCCTAGATGAGACGAAACTTTTTTTCTGAATCTCATTGTTAATCATGATTAATCTTTCATAAAACTTACGATAAAATGGTTAAATAGAAGCAATTCGTACAAGGTGTACAAGATTAAAAGAAATTCAGTCGCGAATCTCAACAACAGCACAACTTAAGCTTTTACATATCTACGTCATAGCACGAATAATAATGACAGCTAACTTGGCTCCCCCATAAGTAAAGTAGGACTTAAAACCGACTACATGAATCTGTACTATATGAGTTGTGTTGTAGTGAAGGAAAACACACGTGGGGACAACCGAATTGTATTTAGCTCAAAATAACCGAGTTGAATGGTAAAATAGAAAATCCATATAGTAAATCGTTAATTTGCAAAATATCAATCCATCATATCAAACTGGACTGTTCCTGTTGCAAACATCAATCTATTGTCTGACATTTCATTGTTCATGCGTTTTCATACAAATTGCATTGTGTTCCCGCTCTTCCTTTCTTGATCTTCCCCCATCTTCTGCTCCTAGACATTACGTCGCTAACTTGCGTCACATACTACTTATATCAATATAAGTAGCGCCCACTACAGTATAAAGAAAGACTACATAAGTAAATTCAATACCATTTTGTTCAGTTTTACATACATCCAACTTTGAAGCAAAACATAAAATATAGATGAGCAAAGGATACTTGTTAGCCATAAATAATCGTAGATAGGATGTCAGACATCAAGGTAAAATTGCAGAATCATTTCTTCTATAGAAATATTATTTAACAATTTCTAACATGAAATTGTCAATACAATTTAGATAATCAAATACACCTTAGTAATAATGATTTCAGTAGTCAAAATCACTGGTAAATTGAAACGAAATTAAGTCGACACAGTAATTAAGTTTGCGAACTCTTCCTATGTTGATCACTATTGAAAACCAGAAAGCACTAGACAGTTATTTTGTTCTAATATGAGTTTTCCTAATAATGTGAACATACGACCATAATATAGGGAGTCGAACCCAGGAACTTCAGTCCGGTGCGGGAACGTTTAACATAATAATTTAATTGATACAGTAGATCAAGGAAAATTCGTCAAATGACAAGTTGAATAATTAAACACCGTCATCTTCGGTTAACTAACGAACGAACTGACTAGAGCACTGTAAAAATATACGAATAAATAAATAGCTAATGATTTCCATAAGGAATCTATTAAATTTAGGAAAAAACACTTCTGACACACACATACACACCAAATTTCACCAACTTACTTTGCCCTTATGAATAGGTAGTGGATAGATTTTCTCTTGTGGAATATTGGATAGATATAATGATGATAATGATTGGTTTGATTCATTATCGACTTTGTCCAATTCAATCAAGTAAATTGCGAGGATTATCGATTCATGACGATCAATTTCATTAGCCATTAACTTTTTGTTGAAATGATTATTACATAATGAAGATGATGATATGAAATGGTTGGATGATTTCACTATTCTACTCAACGAAGATGATGATGAGACAGGCAAATCGATAAATGGTTTTTTCTTAATCAAATCAGGAGGTCTTGCACGCAACTATAAACAAATAAATATTAAAATGACTTCAAGGAAAAACGGTTTACGGCGCACTTTTAAAAAATATGTAAACATAATGCTAGTCAAAATTAATATATATACCATTATTGATTATTATTATGGTGTGTACGGACAAATATAAGTAGTGTGAATCAGGAATCGAAAGTATAACTGTTATGGACAAAAGAGAAAGGAAAACAGAAAGCAATCGAAATAGCGATAGGAATGAAAGAATGATGGAGTTCGTAAGGGACAAGGAAAATGGGTAATTAGTGTATAGTTTTAATATTTTACAAATACGGTGTGTGATTTAGCATAATACAAAAATTGGTTTACTCTAATCAAGTCTTCGTTCATTGTACTATCACCCTTAAATCGATCGGCGATTACTGAGATCTTGAGGCTAACATCAATGTGTGTTAATATTAAAATAACTGAAGGGTTATATGCTACTCATTGAGGTTTCATACACACAAACAATATGTGTATACATTAAACCACAAAGAAATTTGTATGAGTTCCCTGTGGCATTGGTTATTAATAAATAACTTCTCGTGATCGATAAGAACGATAAAAGAGAGCAAGCGTATACTGACGATACACAGATGACTGCAACAAAATCCCGGACGTTTCTTTTACAAAGCCCAACAAATTTTAGCCACTGAGTCAGGATCCGATTTCTTGATACTTATCAAACTATAGATTGCATTCACCACAGATTGATTTCGGTTGGAGAATCAGTGAAAATCAAGAAGCACTAGACCCCTGTCACGTTTTAGTACAAGATTATTCAGTTAGTGGTGAACACGTACGACCTCATTGAGAAACGAACCCAAGACCTTCAGATCTCACGGAGAACAGCTAACTATTACGACCACTAGGTAAGCTTTCAATGGTGAGACTCCATTTTTAATAAATGTGTGCTATAGCGTACCGATTAAAACCTATAGTTCTTATGAGCATTATGGGAGAAAGAAAAAAAAAGCGACAAGTCTGGGAAATCTGACCGCCAACAAAGTCGAAAGATAAGAGCTGGATATGTAACAAGATTTAAAAACATTTAAACATTTTATATTAACATGAAATACTGTCGGTAAGCACATATTTGTCAAAATATTCCATTAATCATGCGCGAACCCTTACCATACAGATCACTTTGCTGGTATACAATGGTGTGGAAGTCTAAATTCAACCGATCCGTGATATTGCGCATTCATCATCTATTATCTTTAGCAAATAACTCCGTCACACTCGACACGATTGAACTCCAATGGTCATAGCTTTCCATTAGAACATGGGGAATTTCCTTCTAAAGCTGCCCACAAATGAGCATATGATATTATCAGTATGCAGTTGTGAGGAGACCACGAACCGTTTAGATTACCCAGTACGAACATAAAAATTTTCGCGCATAGAAATACAATTGAATTAATCAAAAGAGAATGGGTAACTATTTGAAATGAGTCCAAATAAATATCATTGGTAGTAAACCCATTGAGGGATAAAATAGGTCGATTTGAATAAGGCAATATTTAATCAATATTTTTAAATGAACGATAACAATCTGATATTTTGATGTGAAAATAGTCAACTTGTTTAGTAGATAAAAATCTGTTCATCTAAGCTACTAATCGCTGAAAAGAACATGGTAGAGACCCATTTAAACGTAAACAGATGGATGTGCTTTACGAAAATTCGTAGTGCTAATACGATACACAAACACCAATCACGTTTGTTGTGGAAACACATGAAAGATGAAGACATCGACCGGAGAACAAATGAAAACAAGAGGGGGTATTAAAGATAAAAATTCCATCTTCACCTTTTACTTCCTTAAATAATGGTATATTCATCACTTTCAATGTAACGGATTAAATTCTGAACTGAAATAGGTTATTTTTAGCATAGGGTAGTGGAGATTGTTGAATTTCATTGAAATTATGAACCGATCAATGTTAGATCACCAATGAAAAACTGGAAGCACTGGACCGCCGTTTCGTTCTAGTATGGGAATACTCAGAAGTGTGCATGCACAATCCCGTGCGCAACAGGAATAGTTTGGTCGTAATAAGAGAAATTGTAACATTGCATATGCGACTCATCATAATAAGTTTGCGGTTTATACAATCGACTTTTAGCTACAGACTTTTTGTAGAATCTGGTAATAGATTAATTGGAACGGAGCACAAAGCCGCAATCAACTTTAATCACTAAACAGAAAGAACAAGATTTAACAGTGTCACTTGCAAGCATTTTTCGCATACTGTTATAAGTTTTTATTTACTATTGGAAAGGTGATGGTTCCATGTTGTTTATATATTGTGTAATCGATTGTCGAATCGACGAATAACAAATCAAATGTTTAAATTATCAGCCAAAAGTTTTCAAAAACTTTGAAAATGGAAGAGGATGAAAAACAAGAGGTTTTGTGGTTCCCTAAACTATAACCGTTATACATATATAATCTATTAACAAATATTGTTTGCGAAGTTTGACTTAATTCCAATTTTAACACAAACATATTGGTACAAGGAGGCACCAGATACATATGCGCCACACGAATCTCATTTGATTTGTGTGAGGGCTGTGATACTGACCGAGTGCCCAAACCGAAGCAGGTGGTTTTCCTAAGGGACCACACATGGAGCCTTCGACCTAAAGGTCTGATCCACAAGGCAGTGGAGCATCGTAAGGAGATGCAGTCCCATGGAAGCCGGTGACCGAGAAATTGGTTCATACGCCATTTGTTCCTTCAGGATACTAGAGCCCATGTGCACCATTGGTTTGGGATCCGGTTAAAGCGCTGGACATTCGGACATTCGAACCGAACAATATTAGACCACCATGGAGAACCTGGAAGCGCTGGACTGCAGTTTCTTCCTAGCCATTGTACATTACAAGCATCAAGAAAGAGTGGGCGAAACATCTAAAAAAATGTATTCATTTTCGAGATGCAGTCAGATACATCGTGAAAATAATAATAGTTATAGTAGTAGCAATGATTCTATAACTTAATGTTATGTACAGCACATTGTATTTTGCTCAAAAAGATATTAACTGAAAACAAGGAGTACATTTAGAATAAAGTTCTATACACGAAAATTAATCAACGAAGTGCATGTGTGTGTGTGTGCACGTATAATAAATCACCAATGAGGAAACTAAAAAGATAACTTATCGTTGTTTTCACTCTATACCTCTCATGATTTATTAAGAAAGCTTACTAAATGCCACAAATGGATGGTAATCGTATTGTTAATGGTCAATTGTAGAAACAATTTACGGTAATCTGTGCTTTTGTTATAGACAGCAGACCTATTGTAACGCTCGCTTTTAGCCATAAAGGCCTTCAAACTGAATGTTTATAGTGTCTATATAGCGCAATGTCATATTAGGAACTGTGTTCAAAAATTACTACCACCGATCATCACCAAAGTTAAACTCAGATTGTAGTCAGGAAGTTAAGCGAACCATCAAAATTGAGAGATATTATTCTGGCTTTTATTATCATAACAATGCATACAAGTGATAACAGAAGTTATGGGAGGTATTTAATTCATCTGCTATTCTGATTTATATCCAATCTTCCAACTGTCATTAAAAACGTGTTACTTCCTAATCAAGCATTTGTTCGCTCAGAGTACGCAGATGATATAACCCTGTTTAATGATGCTGATAAAATTGTCTTTTGACAGCTTCAAGCAACAATGATAACATATTTCGGATACATTTCTTGCTCTTTAACTGGAAACAGTTGCTACAGAACTATTTTATTTATTTATTTGAACACAAATATTGGTACAAAGGGGCACCGAATACATATGCTCCACACAAGTCACTTAGGGTGTGGGTTGTGATACTACCCGGTTTGCCAGAGCCGGTCTGTATCAACGCCTGAACTAATATTAGGGAATGAATTAGTTGAGCGTCTTGATCTTGGAAATCTCACCAGACCTCATGGATTAATGTTTGACGAAATTTTTAGCAAGAATTCGTAGAACTCGGTTGGTTTTTTGCCAACCTATTTAACTTGTGACATATGAAAGATATTCATCTGTCATTTGAAGAACAAGGATACGAAGCAGCAGTTTGCCACGTTCTACCTTATGGGTGTGAAACGTGGCCTCTCGAAATAGGGGATAATCGTAAGTAACCAGTATTTGATCACAGATGCCTTCGAAACATTACTTGCGTATGTTGGTAGCATGAAGTTGGTAATTTGAGGTTAGAGGCACGACACTAGGTAGTCATGGTAAACAAATTGATGAGGTGCTGAGTCTGGAACGACTGAGATGGATAGGACACATGATACATATTATCATTGACCGACTAAATCAACGGGTGATGATGAATGGTATAGAAGGTAGGTTGAAAAAATGCTAGTGGTGACCAAACCAAGTCAGTGAAGACACCGAATGTTGGACTGAGCTATTTAGATTGTAAAGCAAGAGCAGCATTCCTACAGTTGAAGAACATACGGAACTCAAAACAACTGTCAACCAATATCAAAGTCAGAATCTTCAATATGAATGTTGAGACAGTCCTATTGTACGGTGCTGAAATTTGGAGAACTACTACAACCATCATCAAGAAGGTACAAGTATTTATAAACAGTTGTCTACGCAAGATACCCAATGTCCGTTGGCCGGATACCATCAGCAATATCCTACTGTGGGAGAGAACAAACCAGGTTCCTGTTGAGGAAAATATTAGGAAAAAACGTTCGAGGTGAATAGGACACACATTGAAGAAACCATTAAACGGCATCAAGAGGCAAGCTCTAAATTGGAATCCAGAAGGGAAACGAAAACGAGGGAGACCAAAGAACACACTGCGTCGAGGATTGGAAGCAGATATGAAAAGGATGGATAGCAACTGGAAAGGATTGCCCAGAATAGAGTTGGATGTAGAGTGCTTGTGTGTGGCTTAGACTTCTCCACGAAAGGTAATAGGAATAAGTATGTACGTAGGTGAAGAATACATAGTTAAAGATTATTTGATTATCATAACCAATTGGGAGTGTATTAGATGATACACTGCGAAATAGTTTGAAATAGTGCAGGAGCATACACTCG